TAAATTAACATGCTCGCATGCTGACGCCTTATGAACGCTGTCCGACATCTAAGAGGTAGGCATATGTTAAGTAATTGTAAATTTGCTGTTATAAGTAGCTTTATCACATGGTGTGACTTTGTGTTACCTGTGTATCATTTGATGTACGTACAGTTGTCTGACAGGTAACACTTAGCAGTTTTTGTAAAGTAAACTAGTCGGATGCCTGTAAGGACTAAAAGTCGTAATCTTTAAGAGTGATCTTTGTGCTCATTCTAGATGTATTAAAAGGTCTTGCATGTGCCACCCTATACCCTAATACAATAAAAAAGAAGAAACTGAGCCAAAGCATAGTAAACAAATTGTAAAAGATCGAAATCAGCCAAGAGCCAGAGTCTTTTAAAAACCCAAATAAGTTTCCTCGTACGAGTAGCAATGAGATCGAGATGTGAATTGCATTTTAAGTCATCGTCTATTTGAACTCCGAGATATTTATTATTAGGAACTTTAGAAATTGCCAGGCATGAACAATTCACACCCTGATCACATGAATGAACTTTCATGCCTATATCAGCCAGACCCAATTTTGCTATAGAGAACTGTAGGTATTTAGATTTGGCTATATTGAGAGTGAGGTAATTATCTCCAAGCCAACCATAGATTTTATGTAGCTCCATTTCAGCGTTATTCCAAGACTCCTCCTGGAATATCAGGGCGTTGTCATCAGCGTAGATAAAATACCATTACGTAATATCATTTGACATACATATACCAGGAAGAGACTTGGCCGAAAGATACCGGCTTGGGGAACGCCACAACTACTGGGGCCTGTGCCATGTATTTGACAATAAATCTTGACTTGTTAACAATGACCGGTCAGTCTTTAAAAATTCCGAGCACATAACCCCTAACACCAACGCGAGTCAACTTTTCCACGAGTTTGGGGATCGAAACTGTGTCGAATGACTTGACAAGGTCAAGAAATATGCCAATACACTTTTTTTTTTTACTATCTAGTTGCATCGCTATACGATCAAACATTCGACCTACTGCATCTTCCATGCTTATATTCTGTCTAAAATGGTCTAAAACCATATTGTCTGATAATATTTTGTTTTTCTCCAAAAAGTTTATCAACCAATTATTAAGTGCTCTTTCAAGCAATTTGGAATGTGATGTTAGGACAAAGATTGGTCGACAGTTTGAAAAAATCTCCCTTTATTAATACATTAAATATAAGTAATGCGTGCCCCCTATGCAACATTTATTTAGTAATTTTTACATTTAATATGAGTAATTTTTTATTTGCGCCGGGCTTGGGTTTTTTTAGCATTGTCCTTTAACTTAATCGATCCAGTAATTTCAGAGTAATTATATTAGGGTTTTTTTTACCTTTTGAATTGGAGAACCCAAAAACCAGTCAAAGTGCCAGTTAAGACTCGCGCACGAAGGAACCCGTACCGGAAACAATAAAAAAATGTCACGTTTACTGTATGCTCCCCCTATTTATGAGGACTCCTCCTTAAATATACAGCTGGAAATTAAAGCTGCAACAGAATTACTTCTTCTGTGTAATTTTCAACTTGCTTACTATAACGGTTCATATGATACAGCCTGGTGACGGACGGACGGACATACAAACAGATGCACGGACGGACGGCAGAGTTATAGTAATTGGGTCCTGTTACCCTTTGGGTGTGGAACCTAAAAAATGACTAGGGGATGTTACTATCATAAAAAAATACCAATACAAGGGAAGTAAAAATAAGAATAACAGGATACAGATCCTTACGTATATTTTCATTCAAAATCAAACAAATCTTTGGCACTGGCATACGTCTTTCATCATATTTTTGAGTTTAGATTTTTATTCAAATAAGTTTTACAAATTAATATAATAAGTCATAACCAGCCTCTTCACATTAAAAAATACATTTAATTGTATTAAATACAAATCATAATGACCAAATAAAACCATGTTATGTTTTGAACAAATCCAAATTATGATTACAGGCCATAACATACTGACAAATAATGTGAAAAGTCGTAAGGGACAAAGTCTTACTTGTCACTTACGCCTTTGCATATTTACACAAGAGATACAAAATAACTTATCAGTAGAATAACAAATCGTGGGCGGCATTATAATCACCCAGAACCGAAACTACTTAGGAAAGGCAGTTTTCTACATATTAATAAAAATAAAACTGAGAATCGAACCTAGGACGTGTCTTAGCCATACTCAGTAAACTAGCGACCTGGACACCAATACGTATTACTTTAAAATAGAATTTATATATGTAATATTATTATCATTATCTAAAAATATGTCTTTAAAATCTTTATTATTCACAAAATCTAGTATTTCTAATGCAACTTATTTTTTATGGCATAAGCTTTGAATTTGACGAAATGGCATTCATCTACACGTGTTAATATAAGAATATATAGCCGTCCTATTCTAAGAGAGGGACAACACGATGACTGTCTGAAACTAACGCAGCTGCGGTGAATTTTAATTGACGCTAGTGTCCGACCGAACTTTCGGATTTAGTAAAACATTCGGCTCCAGTCCGAAGTTTTATCCGAAACTGAAGGATTACGCAAAGGTTGTTACTATTACTTTTTTGTCTTATTGGTAATCCAAAAAAAAGTAAATTAATTTTTAATATCACAATCTCTTTCATTTGTTTACTTCGTCTTAACTATAGACTATTAAATCAAAATTAGTTTATTCGCTATTATCCAATATTTGACATAATGAAAAAGTTTACAAACTGGTGAATATATTAAGCATCTTTATATGGGCAAGCGCAATGCTTATCGATACGTATCTTAAAGAAAAGATGTTGCAAAAGCAATCGCACTTTCGGATATCCCTTCGGCCGAATTATTCGGCTATCGCAACAACTAAGGCCGAAAATTAGCAGATTCATTTACCGGAGATCGACTTTCGATCGAACACTATTTACGACACATCTATATATTAATGCACTAGCATTGAAGATTATAAACGCGTGTTGTAAAAAACTTTATATTAGATACGAGTAGCAAAATAAATAGCATTTCAAATTTGCATAAAATTCGCAATACAAAAATATAAATACCGTTATCGACTACGTAAATCCAGAAATGACGTGGTGTTATTCGTAATATTGAAGTCCAAAAAATGATGGCAAGCAAGCGAGCGTAATTTCACACGATTTTCATTCCGAGTGCCTTTAGAATAAGGTTCTTTATAATATTTACAATCAAGTTTTGTGGAATAACAAAACACTTCCACACACTAGCCGTCTCTAAACTTACAACAGTGCAATATAAGGTCCGTTATAAATCAATGACTTTCTAACATATATACCATAGAGTAAGAAAAGCCAGACGAAATGAATGCCAGCATTCTTGAAATATAGACTTTAATGGGTTACGTTAACGTAAATGTATCTACTAAATGTACCCTCCAATCCGCATTGGGCCAGCGTGGAGGGTCATGGCCCATCCTCCTTAACCATCCATAAGGAAGGCCTAAGCTCCTGCAATGGGGACGTAAAAAGGGGTGATGATGATGATGATGAAATGTATCTACTAAGTAACAGCTTGTTTCAAATCGTTTTCGATTCGAGTCGAATAGTGTTGTATCGAGTTGTTACACCGATATATCGTCCTAATCATTAGAAAGTCATCGTTTACAACGCACTCGTGCGCAAAGGATACTGAAAAAGATCTTAATTAAAATTACTATTATTTTACAATTATAATATTACATTCAGTTCCTGATAAAATCTTGGTTTCCTATATGACTTACAATTCGTAAGAATATTTCTAACACCTGCATTCGATTTTGATCTTAATTCCCAACGCGTAAGATTTAAAATCACTATATGACTTTCAACAGTTTATAATAATGCTATGTACGTGAGAACCGTATTTTTTGACAATCTGACATTATTTTGACTGTACACAAAACATCAGGGTAATCATTTTAAATCTCTTTAGATTTTTAAGTTCAATATCGTAACGGAACTCAGTCTATGATAACACGATTGTGTTGCCGTGTGTACTGAATATAATTGATTGCGATTCTATAACTAAACCGCTACTACATTACTTGAAATATATCTCTTTTAAGTATTAAAATATACTATATTCTATATACAGAAAAACATTATTTAAATAAGCCCCACCTTGTAAGCTTGTATTATTATTAATTATAACTTCAACTGATCCAAATTTCCTTTAAAAAACATATTTAATGTAAACTAATCATAATCACAAGTTAGTTTTCTCTATCATACACAAATTAAGAAACAAAAAGTGTTGGAAAATTATAATAAGTCTCCTAAATGTCTCTTCTCATTTCGTCTTTAAAGAAAAAAAAAAGAGATTAAAATACCCATCAAACAATTACATCTAAACAACCGAGTTTTTATCAGGTACTTTAGAAACTGCATCTTAAACTTTATTATGTTAGAAATAAAGTTTTCTCAAGTAAAACTTTTAACGTTATCACCGTTTTTGTACTAACGATATCTACTAAAAAATAAACGAAATACTCAAGAGTAATTTTTATTCAACACGACAGAGACTTGTTAACAAAACAAGAAATGGTTATTATTAAATAAATAAAAAATTTGTGATAAAATTTTAAAGCTCAAAAAACACACTGTCTTTTTTATAAAAAGAAACTATAAAAACCAAACATGAGTACACAATTTTTGTAATCTAGTTCTGTTAATAGTCTCTGTCCATTTCTAATACGAGTTAAGATGAATGTCCTATCCTCTAGAAGATTTGCATCTTCAAATTCAATATTTTATACACTGAAAGTATCTATATGGGAAATTAATAACACCTTGAATGGAACCGGAATTTGAATAATGAACACACAAAATCAACAACTATCAATTTGGCATTACGGTTGTCGAACAATCATTAATATCTGGCACTGAACTATCATTGCGTTCTAAAAACTGGTCAGAGAGACCATACAATTGTACAGCATACTGCTTCACGCTTTTTTTTTTAAGTTTTCGATTCTTTCAACTAGTATTGCAAATACATACAATGATATCAAATTATTGCTTCGACGGGAGTCTTCAAAACTTGCTTCTTGACGTATGTCTTGAACCACTTTAATTTTACACAATATTTTTGATCACTTCTTTATTAAAACACCACTTAATATAACACAATTTCTTTGTTCTGCCATTAACACAGTCCAAATAAATCTAGATCAAAAATCAACCCTTGCTTCAAAATGGGCATCTGTGATTGTATTTAATAGCCACATTGTTGATTCCCTTTGAACATAAACAATCTTCACTTTGACATCGTTTCCCAACCGTACAAGTCACCGTCAAAAATGTTCTCTGGTTAATACAACCATTTGGCAATTTTTCTCTTTATCTATTTACTGTATTTCTCCTTTCAATGCTCTGTCGAGGAGTGTTTTGGATGTGACCTCGACTGTGACCGTCTTGCTGATGGTGGAAAGTCCACCCAATCCTGCAGAATGTTCAGGAGGGGGCTCTGTTAGGATCCTCAGGGAGGACACTTTAGCGCGCTGGTACGCCGTCACTGTGTTCATGCCGAGGAATCTGCAATATTAAAGGATAGATAAAGCAAAGCATTCATGTAGCTGAATATAAAAACTATTTTCTGGCAATCATCTAACAATGATTTTAACTAAATTTTAAGGACGAAATCCGAGGACAATTAAAATAAACCGTCAGCAGACCAATTAATTAATGGTGACAGATATATAATAGACTTCAGGTAGATAGTACAACAGCAAAATGCATGAAGTCCAGATTCTATCTACATTATTAGGTGAACATTAGCCGAATAGGGTTGTGTCCTACACGTTAAAATTCAGGTTTCTGTTATGTGTTTGGAAAATAAGAACCATTTTAACTTATAACTATATAACAAAATACATTTTATGACACTAATTTGGAAAAAAGAATATTATCAAAATTAGAAAAACACATATGGGATTAATATGTTACATAAAACAAAACAAAAAACTTTTACTATTTTTTTTTTTATGGGATAGGGGGCAGACGAGCAGACGGATCACCTGATGGTAAGTGATTACCGTCGCCCATGGACACCTGCAACACCAGAGGGGCTACAAGCGCACTGCCGGCCTTTGAGAGACGAATATGATCATAAGAAGGGAAGGGTTGAGGGGTAGAGGGAAGGGAATAGGGAGGAGTTGGGCCTCCGGTACCCTCACTCACACGACGAAACACAACGCAAGCGTTGCTTCACGTCGGTTTTCTGTGAGGCCGTGGTATCACTCCGGTCGAGCCGGCCGGCCCATTCAGTGGCTTTACATTGTATGGAAACATTTTCTACCAACTAGCTGCTGTACCACAAATATAGCACTCCTTCTACATTATATCTCACATATTAACGGACTATAAATAAAACAAAAGTTTTCACCTGTGGCCGTCCATTAATCACGTGATATTTTTAGCATTTTTTAACCCACCCTCTCATTTGATGATACACAGAGAAGTTTATTTTTATTACCTACAAAAAAATCTTAAATTATAAACCGCTTTTCGGTACAGTAATCGCGCATTTGTGGAAAAAATAATACACGCGATATATTCCCCCTCCGCCTCTTCCAAACCTCACGTGATTAATGGAATGCACCTAGCATATTGGCCTGCAGGTATCATGTTAATTCGTGCGAGTTACGCGGCGCCGGCAGCGAGCTCGCGCACCAAAGGCGGCGTGAACAGCTGTACTGTAACCCGGGCGGGTAAGTACTGTACCTGGCGGCCACGTAGCACACGAGGAGCGCGGCGCCGGCAGCGAGCACGCGCACCACAGGCGACGTGAACAGCTGCACCGTGACCCAGGCGGCGGCGCCGGCGCCCGCCATGCACGCCACGCCCAGCCCGGTACGCACCCAGTGTACGCACGTGAATCCCACCTCCCACTCCACTCTAAGTGCACACGAACATATACCATTGCCATCGCAAATTTTATGACGAACACAGAGAAAGGGTCTTTATGATAGGCTTTATATTCCACTTTCAAACGTCTTCGAAACTATGCGAAGGGTTGTCGATTTTGCAGGAACAAAATTCGCGATATTCGGATCAGTCATCACTGATCACCAGTGGTCGGAATTAGATAGAGTTATTCATGTACTTACACTGATTTCATACAGCGAAAGAATAAATTGGATATGCCTTAAACCCCGAGATTAATTTAAAGGAGCAGAAAAAATCCCGTGATTTTTTAAATAAAAAGTTATTTACTTTTACACAATTTAAACTACTGCACGCACGACGTTGCCAAACTTACATCAATGACATCGGATGTCCAAAGTTGCAAAATACCAATACGCGCGATGTTGCCACATTTGTAGGGAAGGTCCACATTAATATCAACATTTCGATGCAAGTACATAAATAACTCTACCTAATTCCGACCTCTGCTCATCACACATCGGGTGCAACCCTGAATGTATGTCTGTGTAAAGACCTATTTTTAATTATTATATGGCTATAACGACCTATCTTCCAGTTGACTGCGAAACCGTACTGACGAGGATACGGTTACTTCATCGACCTAATAATAGAGCGAGATAAAACATGTGAAACATTGCCATACAACTGATAAGATTATGCAAATGTTTCGCTCTCGCATGCGATTGCGTCGGTGTACTAACGGCGTAACTACAAAAAAAATGGTATTTAAGGCGTTCTCTTGATGAATACAACAAAAAAATGTAACTTTTTAAGCACTTAACAATCTTAAGATTGGTAAATAACGGTAATATGGGTCTTTTACATAATAATTAATTGAGTAATTCTGTTGAAGACTGTTTTTACCTGAATAAATAAATAAAATACATAAGCATTTTCATGCTATTGTAAATCACGCGCTAATATAGATTAAAGAATTTTTAAAATCGGTCCAGTAATTTTGGAATCTATTCTGCGCAAATAAAGAATAAAAACTATCCTCTTTATTATATTAGTATAAATAAATGTGTAAAAATTGTAATAGTAATATTAAAGTGATTCAGTTTGAAATTAAGAAAAATATTGACAAATGAACATTATGACCGTCTCAATTGAAAATGTACTAGTGTTGTAATTTCTGTACACGAAAATAATGTTTGAAATTTGACGTTGCTAATGAATATATCACATCATCGCCGTTCATCTAGCAGCGAGTGATAGATACTACACGTTGCAGTCGAATAAAAAAAACGTTAAAGGTATCTTTATGTCGAATCTAACTGAGTGATTCAGATAAAGCTCATCCCCAGATAGTAATTTAATACAGCTCTTTTAAACAAGAATATAGTAAGCAAAAAATAATATTACTTTCATTAATATATCAACAGCCGCGTAAGTACGAGCTGGTATAAAAAAAAATCCATTAATTAATATTTCATATCGCTTTTATTCAACAAACAAAGACGTACGTACCTGTTAGTCTCCTGGACAATGTATGGCGTGTTGCAGACTTTGCATTTTAGACCGTCGGGCGTAGCAACACTCTGACAACAATAATAGTATGAACTTCAGTAGTCACATTACTTTACTTTTCTGGTGAGCTCGATGGCGTAGTGGTTAGTGCGTAAAACTGATCAAACGATAAAGTGACAGTGACAGCTAACTGACAGCTAGGGATGCCCGTAGTGAAATCCACAAATAATTCTGCCAGTAGTAGTCGATCTTTTTCCCTTTAACGATAGATAGATAATTCGTTTATTCAATTACAACACACATGATTACAATAAAGAATTGAATGAACGAATAAATAATTCTTTATTGTACAATAAATACCAATACTAGAGAAACAGTAACACAAACTATCAGCGTCCTAACCGCTGAGAAGCAATTTCTTCCAGGCAACCGTTATAGTCTAGATAAATTGAATTGAACGTTAAACTGACAGACAAACGTAACTTTAAGAAATTAAGTAGTTGTAAACACACAAATAAGTAATAAGTATAATATAGGTAACTACTTATGAGCTTATTTATAATGTATTGGTCTAAAAATGACATGGTTTTTATGAATGTCTTTACTGCCATTAGAGCTAGTGAGATTCTTACACGTTCTTCTTATCAGCCAAAAGACGTCCTGAACGAGTGGTAGGGAGAAAACTGTTGCACTATTCAAAAGTACTTTTAAAAAGTCTATTTGAATAAAAATTATTTTGACTTTGACTTAATTGAATATAAATTAGAATCCACTTAACTATCGTACGTGTACTACATTATATATTTAATTACGTGTAAATCAGCCATAAAAGGAGTTTGCGTGTTACCTCGACCAGCCACCGTCGCAGGCAGTCGTGGTGCACGGCGGCCACGTCGCCGGTGCACCGGCACGGCCTGATGAGTGGCTCCGGCCGGCTGCCGTCGTAGCAGATCCAACAGTCGCGCGACGAACCGACGCTGCCCACCAGCGAGACCGTCTCCACATTCTAACACACCATACGCATACCAATCATCAGACGTAACATACAAAAATATTCTAAATACAAACTCAAACTGATATTTTATGTAAGTCACCCATTCAATAAGTAAGTTTTAAGTGTTACTTAAAAAATAACCATGAATGTTAATTTAAGATTGGTATGTAGGTAAGTAAATTGGCTCTACGTGTCGTTATTTAACATTTTCAATTAATTAAGAAGTCACTAAAATTATGCTATTGAATTTGTGTAATGTGAAAGATCACATATGTGTCAAGGGATAAAAGGCGTCGACATTCAACTTTAATTCCATTTTATAATTTGCTTTATAGACCTGATTAGATGGATGCAAAAAACAATAATAATTTTCCTCTTTAAATACATAATTAAAAATAACTAGACAAAAACATTTCCTTAGTTACGCGTAGTGCGTAGTCATAAACGTATCACGACGATGTAGAGGGAAGATCGAAGATTGTCAACGGAAAATACTGTACATCAGCAACTAGACTCGCAGTTGCCACCTTGTGGTCATTGCCTGATAAAATGTTGCCGACCGCTGATCTACACCATTCATTTTAAAAACACCTGTGCAACGATTACACCAATTTTTATTACACACAAACTCACCAATGTTTTAGCAGACGTAGGTGGCGCCTTCAAATACTTCGGCGTTTCAAGAACAGTGAACACAACATTACGTATCACCGCCTGCCAGTATCTCACTACACGTAACAAGAGCAGCGCAGCGCTGTAGAACCAATCGACGACGCGATACTCTAACAGAATCTGAGAAACGGATCAACTCAACATACATACTATGTGAACAAATCCTATTATCAAGTTGAAAATACTCCAAAGTATTATTAAGTAAAAAGAAATATATATGAATGATCAACGTTGAATAGTATTTAGTATTTACAACGTAGAATATTATTTAATCACATAAACTGAGAGAATAAACCATTATAAATCATAATAACACTAGGCTATCCGGTGTGTACGTTTCTCACACATCGAGTTCTCGCTCGCACAAGCAACATGCAAATTGCTTTTTAATAATGTAGAAAACTACGATTGTGATAACTTCGTTGTTTCAGATTTCAATAACACAATTAGCTTTTTTTATTAATAAAACTGCACTGCACCCAAGTGCTGGCCAAACGTAAACGCCCAGCAAACGCTTACAAAAGTATTAACCCAAGAAAACTGTAAAATACATGTCCAAAACAAACAACGATGACACCATATAAAAAATATTCTCAAGCCCGACAAACCCGCATCGAACAATTTAGCATTAGCGTAAAAAGCTATGAGGACTGTACGACCATTTCCAACCGTGAAGGTAACATTATAATAGAAGACATAGACAACATAGATTAGCTGTATGCAACAATCAAATCGAAAGTCTATCGATTTAGGCGCGAAACACAATGGACTACTCGCTTATAATGCAAGGTTGCGTCCTCAATAACAAAACAAAATATTTCCCTTTCCAAAAAGACACCATTACACCAATGAAACAGTCATTATTACCAGTAATTGGAATGATATTATTTGGTTTTTGTTTATTATTTGTTATGAAACATTAAATTCGGATCTTAGATTAATGGTAGGCACGTTTGGTCTGCGATCGAAAATTTATGATCTCGGGCTTTTTCGTACTTCGGAAGGCGCATTAGGTCATTGGTCCTAGCTGCCTGTACAGTATAGTTTAACTCGCCAATCCACTGATTCAATTTATCTGATTTTAAAATATGTCAAAAAATTATGAAAAATAATTATTAAATATGAACAGTGATTGAAAACTTATCATATATATTTGACCAATTTCGAAATTCACAATGCTATACTGAATAATATTCTTAATGCTATATGCTTAAAAAATCCACTTGTTCTCTGGCACCCTGCGACTTATCATAAATGTTTGATTTTGAATAAAAAAATTACATTTTTCAAATTTCATTATTGAATTAACGTTAAGAAAAAAGACAAAACACTCCTTAAGTAATCAATAAGTAGGTAATTAACATTTAATAAAATCTTAAAGAGAAAGAGTTCATAATCACAAGACTTGAAAAATTGTACTTTGTTAAGAGTGCATAAAACGAGACCAATCAACTTGTTACGCATTTTAACTAGTAACTAGTCCAATTATATACACAAAGATAGCGTATAGAGCAATATAAAGAACCAAAATCATTATTTAATATTTACATCCCAAATAGCTATTAAGATTATTATTATAAATCGATCTTGTTAAATTCACCATGTACTAATTACGACGGTGACCGAACGTGTCAAATCATCACATTAACCATACAGACTTGATCACTTGACTTGAACCGTTCAGTGGAATTAAAGGTAGCTTATAGTTGGTTCAGGCTTTAAATTATCCAAATACCATTATTAAATCCGACTGATACTTTTACCGTGACAGAGTAACAAACACTGGCGATTTGTAACTTATCGCGACAATAGCTAAACGAAATCCGTATTCAAAATTTCAACTTAATCGATTGAGGATAGGGACTTAAAAATTCTGTTACTTGTTTCGACGAACGTTCTATACAAACAGACATACATGGCAAGTTAAATAAATGCTTATAAAAATCTTACACTTAAATATTACAATACACTTTACACTTCATCACTAAGTATTCACAATCAAACGCAAAATTGTCCAAGAATAGTTTATATTTTATTCACAGGTTTCGCCACATTTTAAGATACTAATAGAGTTTAAAATATAAATACAGTTATTTACAAACCATAATCAATCCATTTTGACATATGTCTTAAAGTTATTTTTTTACTTAATATGTCTGGTATTGTTGAAAAGTTGTGTATAACTAATATATTTTAATTGAATTATTTATGATACGAGCAACAGATTATGATAACGCGCCAAACAAGACACGATTGTAAACGCAGCGTGCACAATAGCTCATGACCCATGTCGATAACGAGAACATGACACTGTATTCTAGAATATTGGGTTATGTGCTAAAATTTACACTAACGTAAGGTTTCTACTTCTACTTTTAATAATTATTTAAAATCTAAATTAAACAAGGAGAGAAATATACATTATTTATAACGTCATAGTCTAGCAAAGGAATGATAAAAAAAATATTGTACGGACTCCAACGGTGTGGTACATTACTTTAATTAAAAACTAAAACTAACTAAAATCTTATTTTTATTCTTATCACAAATTTCTAAATCACTTTTTTGTTCGAAAGTACTTGGACTTGGACCTTGTAACATTTTTCAAAATAACACCCCCACTTTTTGCATCGTAGGTTAATAAAACATTTGCATAAACTAATTCTTTTTGTAGACAAGTCTATCTCTTGCTAAATATAGCTTATCGGGAAATGCGGTTAGTGTCCTCTTATTATCATCTGTATTTATAAAAATATGAAAAATCAACGACTGTAAACTTTATGTAAAAGGAGTAAAGTTGAAATTAACATTAATGTAAAACAAATAAAAATATAAGATCATGTTACAAATGAATTTGTATTTTTTTTTTTACAAATATATCACAAAGTTATATCTATAGACGTTGTTAATATGTAGCGGAGGAGTCGAATAAAGCAGTTCCCAATTACATTAATGTGTTTCGGTATAAGAATAGCATACGCCAATTTAAGTTTTTGAATGAAAGTACATTTTGTCATGGCCCATAGGTACTCCTTAACCATCAATGAGGGAGGCCTGAGTCTTTGCAGTGGGGACGTAAAAGGGCTGATGATGATGGTGATGATGATGACGCATGGACATTGATTAATTTAAAACAGCATTTTAAAAGTTGTCCGATCTCCTATTGAAAAACCGATTTGACAGGACTAAAATTAAATTTAGTGTAGTTTGCGAAATATAAAAGCTAATGTCCAGCTAGTTTATTTGTAAATACGAAAGACAGTTTTCGATGCTCTTTTTTGCGCAGTACGCTATCATTTGTCTATATCTTTCTCATTAATTGGTTTGTTGATTTCATCTCGTTTCCGCATTGTATTTAATACTAGGCTTCAGTGGCGTAGCACAGTGGGGGCAGGGGGGGGCGGCCCCCGGGCGGCACTTTTTAGAGGGCGGCAAAATTATACAGTAAACAATAAAATCTATTTTTTAAATATCTGAACCAATTCATTTTTTAACGCAACTATTAATTCAGACCGAACAAAAAGGACCATTTATACTGACTTACGGGGATTCCCCGTATTTTATTTTGTGCTTGGATTGTTTTTGACGTATAAAAGCAAGAATGACTTATATTACAAATATATTAAGCTAAATATTGTTTATTGCATCCCTCAAAGAGAGTTTTATTCATGGATCTTCAGTTGTTTAGTTCATTTTTTTATTTCAATTTGTTTTTTATAAAGACAAACCCGTTTTTTAGGATACAAGTCCAGCATGCGAGGGAAAAGAACACCCAGTCTAAGAATTAAATTTAATAATTAGTAAATCACACGAAGAATTTTCTTTTGTAGGGATCGAACCCACAACACTAGATCCGTGAGCAGTTCCATGGCGACAACTCAACCACACTAAATCGAACCTGTATAATGATAACAGTTCTTGCCGAAAAATTCTTTTAAATTAATGAATATAATGTATAGTACAAATATATAAAATACCTAATTAAGAGGAGTGGCAAAATTTTCTTCAGCCCCGGACGGCAGACACCCACGCTACGCCACTGCTACGCTTTGTAAAATATTTTTTCCACTAGTCTTTTTTTTTATTATATACATACAGGGTTATTTATGAAACACCACCGTGCGCTAGATTCACATTTATTGGTTTATATTTTATTTGTAACTGCACAGACGACGCTACAGTGGCGCGCTGTGTGCAGTATTCTACTATTAGTATTGTATTATCAACATTGCGAGCGGTTTCAGCAATTTGTTTTTTTCTTATTTACTGCAATTGTTGTATTAGCATTTAGCACATGTAATAAACATTTTGTTATAAACGTCAAACTTCATTCACAGAGTAATGAAGAAAGTGTGAGCATAGTAGGAATTAAATATTTTTAAAATCTATGATTAATTAAGAAGGAAAATAATCATTTATTTCCGAAAGACAAAACGTTCGATAAAATTTGTTTGTTTGCTACTTGCGATAGTGCTGCCGTCTACGCCGAGTTTTACGTAATATTTTTTATAATCAAAAGTCGTAGAACAAATATTATTGACTATGGTGTTGGCTGTACATGTTTATACAAGCTAGTGGGTGTTTTAAAATCAACCCTGTATATTTATATAGTGGTAGTGTAATGTGCTAGTGTAACTGACCTTAGCATCGGGATGGGTGGCCAACAGGTCGGCGAGCCTCGCGTCGTCCAGCTGCCTGGCGAGCAACCGGCGCGGATTCAGGAGCCATAATCTCTCGGGCGCCATACAGTTCCACAGCACGCACGGAAACCATATCGCGACACCTATCTCCGCCAGACGGAAGACCAGATCGTGCCAGTTGCGTGACACCACTGGCACCCTACCGAGGCAAATAAAATAATAAAATTAACATACCAGTTTTTACCTGCGACATCGTCTGCGGTCCCTAATATCATATGTACTGTTTATACTTTAACTTCTTTTATTAGCTATCAACTTTACGAATAAATCTCTAATACGAGGTATGCATAGTTGTTTTTATTTTGTTGTCCTACCCCAGTTTTTACCCTAATTAGGCCTGCCAATTCAATAGACATAAATATTTGGGCAATTTTTTTAAATATTCGGAATTTTGATACATACTTAAATATTGATATGCCAAAAAATACCTATTTCCAGAAATATTTTGCCCATGCCGAGCGGACGATTGATGTAATTTCATATTATTTGCTATATTTGACAGATTTTTAAAGCTTTTTGTTACTATTTTTGTGACTACTATTGACCGTGTTTTATAATTTTTTATGTTTTCCTTAAAATAAAATTTATTATTAAGCCAAGACATGTTATACTTAGTTATAAAATATATTATTAGGTTCGAAATTACCAATTTTTAACTTTGCACAAACGCCACTCTAGCGGCTAGTTAGATGTCATGTTAACTCGTACAAGTAATAACTATCTTTATCTTCATGCCATGTTAGGTATTCTACACAAATATGCAAGCAAAACAATAACACGATCTCATAAATAAAAATGCAAACTAAGCAAAATTAAGCAAGCAGGTACCTACCCCAAGAAATATTACTGATTTGAGATATACTTTTTCTTTTATTTTCACGCGCACAACACATTAATTACATTTTTGAATAGGTGTAGTGCTTTTATATTTGATTTCATGTTTAAAACGGCTTTCAACACCACAATATAGAACCTTTAAAGGTTTCGAAGTCATGAAATCAAATATAAACGCGCTACAACCGTTCAAAATAGTTTTATTTAATGATATAATCTTAATAGATTTGTAATCACATTGCTTTTGAATTTTTTTTCAATTATAAACTCACTTGGTCTTCCAGAACTCGCTGAGCGTCTCCGAGGCGAGGAAGCCGGCGATCAGTATCAGCATCAGCGCCTGACTGATGAGACCCACACGGGACTGATGCAACTGGGAATGATTCACGGAACGGGGATCTATACTGCCGTCGGCTTCGGACAAGTCCGTCTGGATGCCCTGGTGAGGACGTGATGACAATAATGATAAATAAATAAATGTAACATATATTTTATTGTAATTTAGGAAACTTAAATAAGCAAAATAAGGCATTTTTTCATTCACGGAGCTCGCTTGATAGTTATTATGACAAATATCAATGTGGAATGACGGAGAAATCCGGATAATCCAATAGACACTGGTATGGTGGAACTATAAAACGTATATGTTTATAATTTTCAACGTGTCACTTAATGGTTTCCGTGGTGTAGCGGTTATCACATCTGCCTAACACGCAGAAGGCCCCCGGTTCGATCCCGGGCGGAAACATTGTTTTTATTCGTTTTCATTTTTATTTATTTTTTGTAAAGTAACAGATTGGCCCCTTATCGTAAGGACCGAACGCGAGATATCTAAAAAAAAAATATGCTTCTCTAGTAAGTGCCTAGGGTGTCAAGTCCCTGAAAAAAAAATTGTACTTTAATACAAATTATATGACCAATCAGCCTATTTCTACCGGTTTAATACACTATCTATTTTCGTTTGTTCAAAGAAATGTAAAGAGATAAAAACATAAATGCAAACGCGATTAACCAGTTATATTCTTAACGGTTAACGAGAAATAGTATTATGATTATTCTTATGAAAGGATTCATCAATAATATTGGCTATTGGTCTAACCGGTTAACCCGTGAAAACCATTATTTCGGGTCCCTGGTATTTTTCATGAGATTTTCATTCAAATTTATCATTAAATTTATAACTGTTCGCGCTACATATAACGTGGCGACTAGAGGCGCATGCAATATTGTCTTAAGTGTAATCTGCCGGTGTCCTAAAGAAAATACCATACTCGTGGAATCTGTATCTCGACATTAGTAAAAATAAGGAACTTAATTTTGTCGGCGTCTATATCTATAGTATGTAGGTACCTGTTTGGTAACCAGCGTATCCTGGACATCCTCCCCCTCGGCGGCAGTGGAAGGTCCCGGTCGTGGCTGTATAATCGTACACACCTTCGTCTCCTTTAGGAACTCACCGCGAAGCTACAACAAATAAAAGATAAGCATTAAGCTGATCCATGATACACGGTCAAACGGAGCGGTGTTCATATCATTCCAACTTTACAACTACTTAACACAGTGCTAGTGGAATTACAATCATAATTAAAAATAATGGTTAAGGGGTTAATTTAATTTTTATTTATTATTTAAGAGCTATCTGCTCATATAGCTGTAGCTCTTATCGGTGGAGGCCGTCAGGGTGGGAAAACAAAAGATTTTAGTCATTCTATTTTAGTTTCGGTTTTTCAATTTCGAAATTATTTCAGTTTTGAGTAAAGACCATTACAACATTGACAAGCAATCGATCATTGTTGATTAAAATATCATATAAGGCATACTATTTTTGATTGAAACGAACCTAGTCGCTCCCAGTGATTACGCGACCAAAGAGCATTTTAAAAAAAAAATCTGGTTAATTGTTTTAATTAACCGGTATTTTTCGAAGTTTTCATAGGCCCTCACCAATCGGCTCTTTCTTTTCTGCATTGTTACATACGACGCGCCTCTTAAATGTATAAATTATTTAAAACAATTAATCATTCACTTGCCTAATCAGGATGTGTCAATGTAATACTTAAATCGTCAACAAATCGTAAAACACTAGTATATTCAACACGAATTACACATTCAATTCATTCTGAACTCTAAACAAACTAACCTTACAGGCGTATTTAAAAAGAAATGATTTCATCATCAATGTTTACCGTCCCATAAGTGATGTAAACTATAGCAGCGGGAGGTTTTTTAGATCGCGTAATAGATTGATTGCGCAAAAAATAACAAATGCCAGGTACTTCCAAAATTTTTCCGACATAACTATACCTTCTAAGCAATAAATTTAATTTTCTTTGCCTATATGGTGTAAACTATGATACATTTACTGGTTCTATAATTCTTACGGTTAAGTTTATAATAGATTGAAATCGCAAAATGTATTTATATTATATCAAAGCGGAAAACCTATGTACCTAATGGTGCCGACGAACCACACAAAATGTATTATGTGTTCTTCATTACAGTACACAATAGCACATTATCACCCTTATAGGGTGCTGAAACGGCTCTATTGTCTTCAGATATAGCCATAATCATACATAGCTTTAGTGTAATCAATTGTTTATTATTAAGCTGTATGTACAAAAACAAATTACAACCTGAAAATGTTTATTAGCGCTTATTTGCAAGACTACAAATTAGTCTTATACCTATTTAATATCTAACCGATTCTAAATGGACCGATTAACTAAAAAAAAACTTTTTAGATTAGACCATAGCAATTTAATTTACTGGTTAATTAATATATTGATTGAAATTTAATAAAAAGTAACGAGTAATATACCCGATACGTATAGTGCTGATGATCGAAATCTCTAGTATTATAACTGTGAAACTATGATGTCTAACAACTTCTACGGCAACAAATATATCAAAAATCACTATTTCGCCTATCTATGAAGCATTATCTGGAGTGCTTGGCACTATAAGGTCTAACAATAATACGTTACCAGATATCACAGTTACACAGATATTGCAATGAACTTCCCCAAGGTAACGCCTGGTTCAATTAAATATCTCTAGCAGTAATTAAAATTGAAGAAACATAACTATAATTATCTAATATAGTACACAATAGCACATATAATTATAATAATCTATTATAGTTATGTTAATCAAAAACAAAATAATTTACGCATAAGCCTACTGTAGCATTAGAAGTTTAGAACCATAAATAATAACTTCTCTTTCTTATGTATGAGCAAACAAGTCCATTTATCTATGCCCGATCACTGATCTTTCGACAACTATAACCAAATAAGTTTATGCTCATGCGGAGAGAGAAAATAACGTACTTTAAAGTAGACCTCAACTCCGTAGATAAGAAAGAAGATGACCACGATGAAGAGCAGGACAGCATAACACCCATTGAATACATGCTGGTAGAAACTCTGTCAACAAAACATATTATTAAATAATCAAAAAGAATTATGGAAGACACGTGTAAGTAGGTAGAATAATTGTTAATCAGGGTCACTGGTCTAGTTCCTGTAGTACCTTCGTAGATTCTTCATAATGCCACCTCGAATTATGAAGTATATGAAACATTATATATAATGATTATATATAAAGTGTATTAATTGCTCTTCAAAAAGCTGGCTCAACAAAATCAGTCGCAAGTCGATATAATTGATACCTACCTTCTTCTCAGCTGATGTGTCAGCGACGTTGGTAGTAAGGACCTCGGCAGCCAGCAACGAGTAGCTGATCAGATTGAACGTCGCAAACGCCAGAAACGATTTGGACAGGAACCGGGGTCTCTCCCAACGGATGTCGCGGAGGTGGAAAACCTGTCTCAACGAAAACTTAATGTTAAGAGCTGTCTTTGGGTATATTCACCATCATCATTAGCCTGTTAATATTGCCTTGCCTATAATGGAGTCACAAATAGTGAAAGCCAAATATTTTCGAGATAGAAAAAAAAATCAAATCTTTTTAACCTATCACCCGTTCAATTCTTTTGGCCGATAAGAAGAACGCGTATTGCATACGTAACGGTGACCAACAACTTAACATTTCTACCGAAGTACGAATGAGCTCGAGATAACAAATTTTTGGTCACCCATGCTACGACACTGAGAAATGCATTCCGCATGTCCGCTCCCCCCATGCGCTGGGGTTCACGGGGTCTGTGGGACTCCTCCTGTGGTCCCGCCCCCAGAGTGGGGCTAGACAAAATACAGGAGTTTGCCCACTAAAACTCAGCGATGTCCCTCTCATGGTGGGCGAGGCGCAGGATCGGCCCGAAGGCCATACACCGCGCAGTTCGCCCCCATTTCGGCCCGCCCTGAAAAGGGCAGGTCCCTCGCGGGTTGGGCGGCACATCTCAGAGACACTCGAGACGTACCCCCCCAGACAGGGCGGAGACGTGCAATGCCGGCTAGTGCGCGAACCAGCCAGCTGCCCCCGACTAGGGACTAGAGATGCGCGACTGTGCAATCTCTAGTCTCTTTCCCATCTATTGGAAGGACCCACACAGGCAGAGCCCTTATCGTGGATCCCTCCCCCCGTACGGTTGCAGCTACCACCGGAGTACGGCCCGACCACAACCCTGAAAAGGGCGCTTTCAGGCCTCATCAACCGGCTCCGCCGCCCCTCTCTGCGCAGCCCCGGAATGGTACCGCCCGGACCGGCCGCCACACACACCAAAGCGGTGTGTATGGCGGCCGAGCCGGGCGCCCAGACCGATGCTACGACCGGCCCTAGTGAAGGCTTAACTTCCGCATCTCACACCGAGCGCTCTAAACACTGCACCTTCGAGCTTCTTCTGAATATTATTTAGATATTCAATCAACGAATCAACGGTTATTTGTTTATTTTGACACGGAAGGTCAGACGCTGACAAAAAGCACTCGTTTGATAGCCGAAACCTCCACTGAAGGACTATTATATTTACCGTGTCCCATTCATAGACACTTCAAATGTGTGTCAATGGTGATTCCGATTTACATAGATAAGACCTCGAAATCATTATATAAGGGAACAAAGTGTTTTATGACTTATAACTGTAGAATATACATAGTATTATATTATGTAACTCCAAAATGTAGTGACATTATATTACTGCAACTGATAACTTAGAACTTTAAAAAACTGAATTTTAACAGTTTTGGAAAACCTATTTTATTAGTGCTATTTCTCTTTCATAATTAAATAGTGACAAATACGTTTGTTATTATGTGATCTAGTAAAAATATTTATTTATAAAACGCCATTGACCAGCGATAATTATCTTAATATTTGCAGACTTAGGGCCCCTGAATAACTAAGATAAATCCAGGGAAATAATCCGGATCCTAGGTTAAGATTCGACCAATGCGATAATCAAAGCGTTCTAGCTAACGTCCAGCAGGCCAATTCTGCTGTTTACTCAATAATCGCATCTCAATAGAAACTCAACTGCTTATATTATGCCATTGTCCTATCTAAAGTCCAATATTATTAGTACAATGTCTTCTTCACACATCAATGGTGACAGATATAATATATTGGCTTGCAGTTTACTTCCAATGATATAGAACACAAACTATAGCACTAAATCCTGTACAGTACTCAAATATTTAACTTTCACATGTCTAAGACAATGACACATCGAATGTCACACGACAAAATATATTTATCGAACGTGATACAATATTCGTGAAAATTACTTTGGCAAAACAAACAAAATGTGCTAAAAAACCACAACGATAAATATTAGTTCAGAGAGACGTTGCAGATAAAATGTGGATTGATAAAACTATGGTGAGAAAGACAAAGAACGATAAGGCTAACGGCCAGTTGCACAAACGTCCATTAAAATTGTCATTAGTTTAAAGCTACATTACCCATAGAAATTTGTCATTCATTAGAGCTTAAAGATGTCATTAAACCCTAATAGGACCGTCAGTCATTTATGTCCTTTTTAAAGGTTCCATATCGAAAGGGTAAAAGGTCCGCTGTCCGTCTGTCACCAGATTGTACCTCATAAACCGTGATAGCAAAACAGTTTAAATATACACAGATGATGCATGCTATATATATCTATATAAATAAAAATACTAAAAAACATAAATAATCAATATTTAAGCGTTTTTGATTTATTAAGTAAAATAAACAATTCACTAATATTGTCCTTACGTAGTATATAAACAAACTGTGTCTGACTAATTTAAATATCGTAAATTAAAAAAGTTTTCCAGGCCTACATATTTATTTAACCAATTAACAAGTCCTAACTTGCTACACTTGAGCATGATGGGAAGTGAGTGACGCATATGGGTTTTCAACGAAAAATTTTATCATCCTATTTGATGTCTAACAATAAACGAATATTTACTTTTTCATTTTAAAAGATTCAGGATATACTTTATAGAAAAATAAAGCTCTTATTTTTCGATGGCGCAGTGATTAGCGTGCTTACAGTTGCACAAAAGTCCATCAAGCATTAATGACGCCTTGAAGCTCTAATAAATGTCAATCTTGTATAGGTAATGTAGCTTTAAACTAATAACAAATTTAATGAACGTTTGTGCAACTTGCTATTGGTCTGCTATACGGTTGTGAAGCAACTTTCGCTATGGTCTATAGCACATAATGAGTGACCAAAAATTTATTATCTCGAGTTGCTCCGTGTTTCGAAGACACGTTAAACCGTTGGTCTGCATTTGCAGTCGTTACCCACCCATCAATCCGCACTGGCCGTCCGTCATGGCCGATTTTCCCTATCCGAGTCTAACCATAGGGAAGTATTGAGCCCCAACCTATTAATGTCCCCTACATTAAAACGCTGGTGATTACAAAATAAGATTGTAACACGCGCTTAAAATGCAATAGCTAGTTCGAAATAATCTATCACAGTAATTGTTATTTATATGGTGCTGTTTCATCTAACTGTCATAACATATAACTCTTGAAATCTCCGATCGGAACAGTCATGTGATTAGGGTTGCCAGACGGTCGGGATTCATCTGGATTGTCCAGACATTTTGTATGATGTCCAGAGTCCCGAAAAAAAACCAATATGTCCCGACAAAAACTGTTAGATTCTGTAAAATCGAATTACAAGTATAAAAAATAAAATAACAACAATATCACAAAAAAAATTTTTAGGTGTTACTTAAAACTAGCAGGAGAAACTAAACAATGTAATAAAAAAATCTATCTTTGAATAATGTAGCCCAGTATATTATATGACAGGTATATTCTATGATTTTTTACCGAATTCGAAAAAAAGGCGGTGGTTCTCAATACGACCTTTTTTCATTCTTTATGTATGTTACCGCGTATCTCTGGTATTTATAGTTCGATGAAAAAATCTTTTTGCGTTCAAATGAGTAATGTCCGTAGAAATTTGATTAAACTCTGGTCATCAATGTGGAAGATATTCCAGGGAACTCCTCAAAAATCAAAAAATAAGCTTTGCGGGTAAACACGGTATTAGAAGCGCGGCGCAGCGGGCATATACTCCAAGAATGAATGTAGATAGGTTAAGTACCTACCCACTAATCGTATAGGTACTTACGACGTACTGTTCAGTTAATATTCAATTATTTATAAAGTTAAGTTTTTTTAAATTGAAATCGGTTTCATATTTTCTTAAAAATTTGCCCTTTGACCATGACCGCTGGGGCAAGTACACCCACTTGTCCTCCCCTAAATACGGTCCTGTATAATGTATGCATTTGTATAGATTTTAATGCATTAAGTTTTATTATTAAAATAGAATATTACTACTATACGTGTGTATACGAGAAGTAATTGAACAGTATAAGAATATAATAAAATATAGCAGATCGATGTAATATAAATGTAAATTGTAAAATAACCTTTTTAATATAATAAACCTTGAAAATATGATTAACATTTTCTGAATGTCTAATCGTTTATAAATAATATCCACATATTACGTTAATTATTTCTTCAGTCTCATCATAGTTTTTATGAAAACTAATAAGGTACTAAGGTAGGTAGATTTTTACAGAGGGCTTTCTTTCGTGGACATATATTCACCTCTTTTCTTTTCTGGCATGTTTACTGCTAAGTTCAGGATGTGGTTTTCACTTCTCCTTTTTGCTTCACCTTAAAGCAACCTCTTACGTACTCACATCACAACGTACCTTAAATTTTCATCTAGTTGGTGTGAACTTTCTGCTCGTGGAATCTTTTTCAATGATTCGTGTAATATCAAATTGCCACGCGATAGTGTCCTAATTATTCATGATTTTCCCCATTTTAAGTCCAATAATGAATACAAGTTACCGATAACATTGAAAAAAAGATCAATAAACGATTTCTCGGACCTTGATTAACTGTATATAATCTTGATTACTGTTCACCGTAGGTATTTTAGTTTCTATACTATTTGTACTTCGGAGGACAGTTATACTACGACATTCCTATAATTCTTGAATACGTTATTGCAATAAGTATGTTTCAAATTTCAATATATTTTAGTTTCTCTGTTTTTTCTAGTTTCTCTGTATTATATCATGTCTAGCGTGCAATTAAGAATATTATTATTATTATATTTTAGTGCACGTAGGCGCAAAACTCGTTTTGGTGACATCGTAATAGTAAAAATGGCATCGAAACCATTCCGTATATTAAATAGGGCTTTCAAAATTGTTAACCTTAGCAAAGGACATATGTTATTCTAGCGAAAAAAGGGCGACAAATAAATTCTTAATATTTTTTTGGGTGTGCTACAAACCGAGATTCTGATAGTCCATTTATGTCATTTCATTTAATATTTATGTATTAGCATGTACTCGTTTATATATATTATGGGCAATAAAATGAATGAATAAAG